AAAAAAAAAAAAAAAAAGAAAAGAAAAAGAAAAAGAAATAAACAGTCTGTATCCTTTGTACTCACTGCTAACCAAATCCATGGAAATGTGGCAAACCAGCCTAACATCTATGGTAGTGATATTATGAACCCTGTCAGCCACTGGACTACTGCTTAGGGACCATTTGGAAGGTATTTGGTAACCCTATAAGTAGGAGGTATGTCAGATAGGAAAGATTGTAGTTGCAAATCAGAGTGATTACACACCTATTGTAGGAGATTTGAAAAAGAAAATCAAATACTCTGCAGTCTTAACAACTAGTGTGATGTATTTCTTTTCAGTCTTTTATCTTTTTATTCAAATGGTCCTCAGGTACTTAAAGAGTGCCTACTATGTTCCAGGCTAGTGGTTCTGCAGTAAACAAATCAGTCTAGGTCCCTGATTTCACGAAGTTTTCTTTCTAATAAACTTAAACACCCACATATACAACTGAGAACATATCACAAATATGGTTTTGTGTCTTATTTTTCATATTCTATTTCATAACCATTACCATCTGCCAATAACATTTCCTCAGAAACCACACATACTGGCTGCACACTGAATGTACAGAAGACAATTGATTTACTTATTCCTTTATGTAGAAAACTTAAGTATTTTCCAAGCTTTTCCCTCTATAAATAACTAGGTATTTTCCAAATTTCCCTCGTTATATATTTAAAACAACAAAGACAACAACAACATAGAATAAACCTCTGAGATGGACACTGTTGTCTTTTTAACTTTTGCTATTTCCTTGGGGTACATTTTTAGATTACTTGAAATGTTCAAGACTCTACCAATTTTCTTTTTCTTTGTTTTTTGAGTTGGAGTCTCACTCTGTCGCCCAGGCTGGAGTGCAGTGGCACGCTCACAATCACCCCAGCGTCGACCAGCTGGGCTCCGGCGACCCTTCAGCCTCAAGTAGCCAGAACTACCACGCCCAGCTAATTTTTTTTTACTTATTGTAGAAACGAGGTCTCGCCAAGTTGCCCGGGCTGGTCCCTAACCTGCGGGCTCAAGCAATCCACTCACCTTGGCCTCCTGAAGTGCTGGGATTACAGGCTGAGCCACCGATCCTGACCGCTTAATCAATTATCAAGCTCGTACTAATAACGCTCCGGCCAGCAGGAAGGCGCCCAACTCTCCGCATTCTAGCACTGAATGCTTGTGATGTACGGCAGTTTTTAAATTATGTGTGACTTTACATAGTGTTTTAGTCATTCTCCATCTTCGCTGATTGCCTCAAGCTCAGACATAAAATTTGTGACTTGATTCTAGCAGAGCGTACAGGGCCTACAGCATATTTTGGGCAACAAGAGCGCCTTTGACTTCCTTCCCTTTATCCCCACCCCCCGGTCTCCCACTCGGCCTCTTCAACTTTGTCATGTGCTATTTTTTTAAACCTTGCTGCATTGAAATATCTTTATATGCGACTTTTTTGTATTGTTGTGATGAACAGGAATATGTGCTGTGTTGAGGGCAGATGGGGGAGAGTCCGAGAACAGGACCAATGGCGCTGCCAGAGTCCAGGCGAGAGACACGCGTACTGGGACGCGCGTGCTCGGACGCGCAAACGTCACACCTAGGAAGCGCGGCACGGAGTGGCGGGAGGGACATGACGTCCGGGTCCCACCGGCCGCCCCATACCTTCCCAACCCTGGCGGCCCGCGATCCTCGCGTGACACCGAGTACCCTACCCTGCTGAGTACAGACGGCGCAGGCCTCCTGTCATCCTAGGCCAGCCCCGGAAGTACGCGAGACAGTGCCTCAGGTCGACTTCCGGCCCTTGGCTGTCTCTGGGGGCGAGACGCCTGCACAGGCGGGGGCATCCTCCCGGCCGCCTGGAAGGAGGCGGGCGGCCTGCGCGTGCGCAGCTCGGCCCACCTCGCCCCTTTTCGTCTGGGCCCGGCTTCCTCTCCTGGCTGGGACGCCGTGTTGTGGGAGGGTCCGCCGGTGGACTAGGGTTCGATCTGGTTGTGCAGCCCCTCCCAATTCTCCCTGTTGGTGGGCCCAATACCGGAGGTGAGGCTACCTGCGCCTACGCTCGCAGCCCAGGTGGGCTGTGGGCTGCCGGGGACTGAGCAAGCAGGTGGGACTGTATCTGCCGGTGGAAGTTGGGGCCAGGCGGGAGAGTTCGATGAGAGGGAGTGGGAGGGGCCGGCAGACGGGTCCTCGCGGGAGCCTCCAGGAGGTTTCAGCCAAGGGCTCTGGGTGATGTTGGCGACCCTGGGAGGGGCTAGATGTACACAGGTGCCTGGGACGCAGGAAGGCAGGCCGCCTTGTCCTGGCGGATCCTGTCTTAGGTGTCCTGGGGAGCCACCGATTGACTGGAGAGGCCAGGAGGAGGCTGTTGAGAGAAAGAGGAGTTCGCCGCAGCTTAGCTTAAGGAGGCAGGTTTGCCTAACAGGCTGGGAAGGACGGGCTGAGAACTTCACCTAGAGCCTGGGACACTTAGTAACTCACACCACCAGCCTCCCTCCCACATCCTCAGCCCTATTGGGTGGAGGTATGGTGGGGGCTGCACAACCTTCCACCCTCATTGGCTCTTTGCCCTAGGTTGGCCCAGAAGCTAGAACTGCACTGTGCCATAGTTCCAGGGCCCTCAGCAGGTCGGGACCACTGGAGCTACTGGCTTTCACCCCTTAGCTGGGTGTCAGTGGACCTCACCTGGGCTCTGGCTCTGGCAGTTCTAGGATTTCGGGAATGATTGGGCAGTAGGGCATATGTTGGCTCTTGCTTTGTGATGACCTGCCTCTCATGATTCAGGAATCAAGTTCTGCCTCCTGGCTACCCCTCCACACCTCTTGCTGAATGGGGCTAAATCTGGGTTTCCCATTGAGGGTAACTTGGGGGAGACCTCAGGCCAGGGCTGCCTCTTATCTTCCTTCAGAGCCAACAGCACCCAGGATGGCAACTACACTCCAGCTTCCAGGGCACCAGGTGAGTTAACCTTCTTCTCTGCCCTCTACCTCCAACATCTGCCTCCCCATCCCAGTCATGAGCTGCTCTCCTCTGGAGCTGTGAGCCCAGCAGTTGGTAAACCCAGGGAATCCTGGCACTCCCAAGAAAAGAGTTCTGAGATGTAGACTCATGCCTTTCCCCAGGGAGAGGAGCTCTGGGCTGCCCTGGGTCTCTGTGGCTGAAGTTGGCTGGTCTTTAGCTCTCTCAGCTGCCCCATCAAGGACTTACTAATGCACAGTTAATACTGACCTCACCAGAACAGGACCTCTGTAGCACAGGCTGCCACCCCGTGGGCATGGCCTGGGGCAGCAGTGATGTGTTGTTGCAGGAGGAGATGCCGCTGACCTTCCAGGATGTGGCTGTGTACTTCTCTCAGGCAGAAGGGCAGCAACTGGGCCCCCAGCAGCGTGCACTGTACAGGGACGTGATGCTGGAGAACTACGGGAACATGGCCTCCCTGGGTGAGACTCTCTGCACCTAACCTCCCTGGTTTGTGGTGGGGGGGGGTGTTCTCCAAGGAGTTTGGGCAACTGCTTTGGCTCCCAAAGAAAAGGGTCCTGCCCCTTGTCCCCAGTTTCCAATCTGATTTCTATAGAAGTCAATGTTCCCCATGGAGAGCCTGTCTTGCCCCCCTGTTCTAGGGACTTCATTTTCTGTTGCCAGTGGCCCCACTGGTGTCCCTCCAAGGATAGGAAAACTAATGAGTAAATTCTCCTGCAGCACTTATTCTCAGTCCATGGGCTTCTGTGACCAACACATGTGCATGCGTATACTCACATACTTGTAGACAGGGTACATCCATCCTCACCTGGTCTAGAAGACCCAGCGGGCAGTGTCCTGCTCCAGCTTCCCAGGCCATGCTGGCTCACCCAGTGTCCTCACCCTTAACAGGATTTCCTGTCCCTAAGCCAGAGCTGATCTCCCAGCTGGAACAAGGGGAGGAGCTGTGGATCCTGGATCTTCTGGGAGCTGAGGAATCAGAGGTCTTGAAAAGCTTTCAGAAAGGTGAGAGTGGGAGAGAGGCTAGTCCCAGGAACAGCCTCCAAATCCTGCCTTCAGAGGCTCTTAATGAAGGGCATCTGGGGTATGGTGCTCATGTCTGTGGTTTCCTTTAGGGGCAGTCCCACAGGTACAGCTCTCTGTACACATGTGAGCATATGCACATGCTTTAAAAAGCTTTGTCTTGTTGGACTGCTTGCTTTGCTTTAAACGAATATGTAGGTCTTCTGATCATGTCATATTTTTGTTTTAGTGATTACTTTTATAACACCTTCATTCCCTTCTTTATATACTTCTTTCCCTCTTCCTTTTTGACAATAGTTACCATGTCCATTTTCTTCATTCAAATTTCTTTCCTCCGTCCCCCAATTTTAGTCAGTAGTACTCTTTTTCTTTTTGAGTCGGAGTCCCATTCCATTGCCCAGGTCCTAGAGTGCAATGGCATGGTCATGGCCACTGCAGCCTCGACCTACTGGGCTCAGGTGATCCTTCTGCCTCAGCCTTCTGAGTAGCTGGAACTACACGCATGTGCTACCGTGCCCAGCTATTTTTGATTTATTGTAGAGACAAGGTCTCGCCAAGTTGCCCAGTCTGATCTCGAACCCCTGGGCTCAGGCAGTCCTCTTGCTTCTGCCTCCCAAAGTGCTGGGATTTACAGGCTTGAGCCACTGCGCCCAGCCAGTAGTATTCTTTTTTTAATGTTTACCTTTGTTCTGTTGAATATACTTCTCCTACTTGATTTGTCAGCTCTAAGTATCATCTTTGACTCCCAGTTACTAAGACAATCAGTAGGCTTATTCTACTTTTCTACCTTTTCCTCCTCATTCCCCTCCTAATTTTTGTTGATTATATTGTTTCTACACTGTCAGATCATATAACACTTCATCACTCTTATTCCTACCTATGTTATTGTCTCATATCTTCAGTTAAGTACATTAATTGTTTACCCCTGGTCCTTTTACCACATGTTTCTCCATCATCTCTTGGTTGGCTGGAGCTTATCTTCTACTAGTTCATTTAGAAAGGCTCTTGAGAATAATATACCCCAAATTCGTGCACATTTAAAATTGGCTATGTGAAACCCTTAGTTTCAAGTGTAGAAACTTAGATTATTGATTTGCGATGTTACTTTTTATAGAATTTTAAGGTTTTCTAAAAGCACAGCTTTAGGGGCATCTCACACTTTTTTATGCTGTATTTTTGTTTTCATTTAGTTTAATACGTTATCTAAGTTTTCTTGTGATTTTTTTCTTCTTTGACCCAATGATTATTTGAACATGCATTCATTTCCAGAGAGTTGATGTTTTGCTAGTTACCTTATTGTTACTACTTTGTCTTTTAAATTAATTTTGGTTAGAGAACATACTCTCTATAATTTCATTCTTTTCATATTTATTGGTTCTTGTTTTGTGACCCCAGACATAGTCTCTCCTGGTATGTGCACTGAAAAAGAATAGGTACCCTGCCATTTTGGGGCTGAATAAATACCCATTAAGTCAAGGTAGTTGATGGTGTGCAGGCCTTCTGTATCTTCTGTTATCTTTGCTGATTTTTAAAATCTAGTTATTCTTTTAATTGCTAAGAGCGATGTTAAAATACCCAAGTATGATTGTGAAATTTTCTTTTCCTCCCTTTAATTTTTTTAGTGTCTGCTTCATGCATTTTAAAGCTGTATTATTGGGCTCTTTTGCATTTACCATGATCATTATCAGAGATAAGAGGATCCCTCTTTCTCTCTGGCAATATATTTTGTTTTGAAATATACAAGCGGGGACCCAAAGAAACCCAGAATTTGTTTATAAAAAATTGTGTGTTTACTTTTACATGTTTAAACTTCAGTCACCTTCAAAGTACTTTCTGTTTGATGCAATAGACCTGTCAAGACGCTTTTTCCACTGCTCAAAACAGTTTTTGAACTCATCAATTTTGATGCCTTTTAGTACTTTTGCTAATTTTTGTTTCATCTCTTCCATACTGACAAAACATTTCCCTTTGAGAACTTTTTTCATCTGGGGAAACCAAAAAATAGTCACCCAGGGTGAGATCAGGTGAATAGGGAGGGTAGGGTACTGGGGTCATGCCATGTTTGGTCAAAAACTGCTGAACACTCAGCACGGTGTGGGCAGGTACGCTCATAAGTCATCCGTCATGAAATGGGCAAAAGTGTTGAAAAGATCTCCAAAAAATTTCACAGAGGTAGGGCTCGATGGCTCAACCCTTAATCTCAACATTTTGGGAGGCCAAGGTGAGTGGATTGTCTGAGCCCGCGGGTTCGAGACCAGCCTGGGCAACTTGGTAAGACCTTGTCTTACAATAAATAAAAAAAATTAGCTGGGCGTGGTAGTGCACACCTGTAGTTCCGGCTACTTGGAAGGCTGAGGCAGAAGGATTGCCGGAGTCCAGCAGGCCAATGCTGGTGTGGCTGTGAGCGTGCTACTACACTCCAGCCTGGGTGACAGAGTGAGACTCCAACTCAAAAATAAAAATAAAAAAATTCACCAAAACTTCAGCCTCTCACGACACTAACTGGTACACTGATGCTGATGGGTTCCTAGAAGGCTTACCTAGCAGGGGAAGCTGTACTATAAGGGGTCTGTCCTCTAAAAATTAACTGTTTTTTGGGGAGTACCCCTTTGTATTTTACCGGATGCTAATATAGTTACTCCATCCTTCTTGTACTTACTGTTAGCATGGTATTTTTTTCATTCATTTAATTTCAACCTGTGTCTTTATACTTAAAGTGAATCTCTTGTAGATATCATACAATTGGGTCTTGTTTTATCTCCAATCTAACAATTCTTGTCTCTTAATTGTAGTGTTTAGTTTATTAATGTTTAATGTAATGGTCGATATTGTTCAGAAAGGCACTAGTGGGTATTTTATTTCTTATTTTATACTTAACCTTTTTTTTTTTATTCCTCTGTTCCTCTTTCTTGTCTGTATTTGGGTTATTTGAATATTTTTTAGAACTCCATTTTAATTTTCCTATTTGCTTTTTTTTTAAGTAATCTTTTTGCATTTTTATAGTGATTTTCCTAGGGTTTACAGTATACATACTTAAATTTTCACAGTTTACCTACAATTCATTTATGTACTACACATAAATCCAGAAATCTTATAACCATCTCTCTTATCCTTTTTGTTATAGTTTTTATATATGCCATACATCTATATACATTTTTATGCTAAAAAAGATAATGTTATAATTTTAGTTTTAAACAGTTACATGATTTATTAAGAAAATTAGGTCAGGCACAGGGGTCATACCTATAATCTCAGCACTTCAGGAGGCTAAGACAAGAGGATTATTTGAGCCCAGGGGTTCAAGACCAGCCTAGGCGATATAGTGAGACCTTGTCTCTACAAAAAGAATTAGGAGCCGGGCTCGGTGGCTCAGCCTGTAATCCCGCGCCTTTGGGAGGCTGAGGTGAGTGGATTGCATGAGTCCGCGGGTTCGAGACCCGCCTGGGCAGCGAGACCTCATCTCTACAATAAAATCAAAAAATCAGCCGGGCGTGGTAGCGCGTGCCTGTAATTCCGGCTACTCAGAAGGCTGAGGCGGAAAGATCACCGGAGCCCAGCAGGTCGAGGCTGCGGTGGCCGGGAGCGGCCACTGCACTCCAGTCTGGGCGACAGAGTGAGACTCCAACTCAAAAAAAAAAAAGAATTAGGAAAATAAAATTATCCAGGCATGGTGGCCTGTGTCTGTAGTCCTAGCTACTCAGGAGACTACACCAAAAGGATTGCCTGAGTCCAGGAGGTTGAGGCTGTAGTGAGCTGTGATTGTGCCACTGCACTCCAGTCTGGATGACAGAGTAAGACCCGACTCAAAAAGGAGTGTTTTAAAACTACAATCAACACGCTGAGGACTTTAATGGAAAAAGTAGAGAACATATGGGAATAGATTGATATATGTCAGCAGAGAGATTGAAATTATAAGAAATAAGCTGGTCATGGTGGTACGTGCCTACATAGGGCAAGAGGATTGTTGAGCTGAGGAGTTTGAAGTCAGCATGGGCCACATAGCAAGACCCTGTCTCCAAAAAAAAAAGGAATTTTAAGAAAGAACTTTAAAAATGGTTCTGGAGAGCTGCCATGCACGGTGGCTCACATTTGTAATCCCAGCACTTTGGGAGGCGGAGGCAAGAACATTGCCTGAGCCCAGGGTTTCGAGACCAGCCTGGACAACTTGGTGAGACCTCGTCTCTATAAAAAACTAAAATTAAAAAAAAAATTAGCCGGGCGTGGTGGTGCATGCCTGTAGTTCCAGCTACTTGGAAGGCTGAGGTGGAAGGATTGCCTGAGTCCAGCAGTTCAAGGCTGTGGTGGCCATGAGCATGCCACTGCACTTCAACCTGGGCGACGGAGTGAGACCTGACTCAAAAAAAAAAAAAAAAAATGCTAGTGATCTAAAATGCTGTAACAGAAATTAAGAATGTCTTTGAAAGGCTGATTAGTAGATTGGATAGCCTTCATGAATAGTGTTATTTGAAAGTGGACTTAGGTCCAGGTGCAGTAGCTCATGTCTGTAATTTCAGTACTCTGGGAGACCGAGGCAAGAGAATTGCTTGACCCCTGGGGTTTGAGACCAACTTGGGCACTATAGCAAGACTTTGTCTCTATAAAATAAAGTAAAATAATGAACCTGGATCAGTTGTAAATGGAAATTGCAAACCACTAAAAAACAAAAAAAATTGATACAAAATGCTCATTTAAAACCACAAAAGACAGAAAAAGTGTAGAAGATAAAAATAGAAATGAAATACAAAAGCCATAAGTAGAAAACAGTAAAAAAAACATGGTAGATATTAGTTCAACAATATCAATAATCACTTTAGAAGTCAGTGGTCTAAATACACCAGTTAAAAGGGATTGATTATCAGAGTGTATTAAAAATAAAACCCAACTGTATTTTCTATAAGAAACTCACTTTGCCGGGCTTGGTGGCTCAGCCTGTAATCCCGCACCTTTGGGAGGCTGAGGTGAGTGGATTGCCTGTGCCCGTG